AGCAGTGTACTTCATAGATCTGCCTGTTCTGCTCCCCACTCTGTCTCTGGTGAAGCCTCTCGCCACCCCTGAGCCTCTGGCATGTACCCCAGCTCTGTATGCACAGATAAATAAATCTTTTTAAAAAAAATTAGTGGATTAACATCCTTGTTATATTGATTTAATTATTAAAAATTTGAGTTTTAAAAATGTAATTTTTTATTTTTGCAAATTAAAATTTTTTGCTACCCTAGGAAAAGCCAGAAAAAATGATAATAAGTGATGTGAATTTAATTTTTGTTAAACTTAAGACGATCACAAGTATGAAAATGAAATCTCCTTGGTACCTAGGAGCTAATGTAAATAATTTTTCACTTTCACTGCACATTAAGATCTCTTGGGAAACAATCCTGTTGTATTCCATGCCAATAAAATCAGATTGTATTCCATGCCAACAAAATCAGAAATTTTGGGGGTAGGAGCCAGGCATCAGAATTTTTATATCTCTGTATCACGGTAATTCCTAAGTACAGCACTTTAGAAACTCCTGTCATTGTATAAAGGAATGAGAAATATAAAGCTGAAATAAATAAGGTAATTTGGAAGTGGAAGGTCCTAGTCTCACTTTTAATTTTATATGTGCTGGCTATATACTAGACTCAGAGAATTGAATTGAACTGCTCTTAATTAAATTGTGTCATTATCCTGGTTCATTTTCATAGTCCTGCTATTGCCATTTCTCGTACCTCTTAAGCATCAAAGGTATTACAGTAACTAGTATGTCCCCTAGCATTGGTCTTCCGTCTCAGTTCTTCTCTGGTGGAAGTATTAATCACACCATGCTAGCATGCCAGGAGTTACCCATATCCACATTTGTGTCTACTAGCAATGAGGTTTTTATTCCAGCTAGCAGCGGAATAATCCATCACCAAAACCTCATTTTTAGAGCCTGCTTCCGTAAAACATTTCTGGTAGAAAATTTTAGAAGATTGGGTTCCTTGGAGATACTCTGAGATAGGAAGTTGCATGCCAAAAGTTTACTGGGAAGTCCTCTTGAGAGATACATCCCTAAGGGAGGAAGAAAGGATGGCAGAGGCTGCCCTATCTTCTGAGGGAGCTCCAGGGATGGGGTGGTCCTTCAGAGTAGTTGCAAATTGAGGCAAGGGGGTCACATTTTTGTGTATACTCACATTAGCAAGTCAGGACTGCAGGCTACCCATTGGTGGGAGGGGATAACATTAAGTAAAGGAGTTTCTGAGAGCATTCCTAGTGAGAAATGCAGCTCTGAGCCATCAGCATGTGGTAGTTCTACCAGCTGGGGGATATTGTGTTGATCTTGAAGGGGGAAACCAGTGGAAGGAATATAGTCTATACCGATATCTATCACAGAGTTCAAAATGATATCGCTGGCCAATGGGAGCTCTTCTCACAGACTTTGTGTCTTTTGACATGACCCACTGGTTTTGAACAGCTATTGTGACTTCTGGTATATTCCATTCAAGGCTCATCTAATGTAGTATCTCAACTGGAACTGGAATCAGTTATTTTTCCAATGGGTTTTTAAATGGAAATGTTTAGAAACTATAAAATGAGTGTAAGATTATTTACTGATTCAAGGTCTTTACAGTGGCTAGAACTAAAATAAATATTTGTATAAAAAAACCCACAACTTCTTAGTAATATTGTCTTTTAAAATTTAACATTACAGGATTTTTACTAATTTCTTTTGATTTTACACTTTTATTACCTTTCCTTATATTGAAAATTTTAGTTCATAACATTAAAGCAAACATTTGTATTACCCTTTCAATTTCCCCTGTACATAAAATGTTACTGTAAATAACTAGGCTACAGAATGAAAAAGAGGTCCTTAGAGCTTTTTTTAGAATAAATAGATCCCAGTGTGTTCTAGAGTCATTTATTGCTTTGTATGGCTGTCATTAGATAGAATTTTCATCTTCTTAGTAAAATACAATCATAGTGGATCCTAAAAATTAATTTGATTTTCTGATAATTTTGAATTTCTAAGTGATTAATGTCTTTTGTATTATATATTTATTAATATAATAGACTGAGACATCTTATTCAGACTATTTTCTAAAGAATTCAGAGCAGCTAAATTGATAAAAGGAGAATTCAACAAAACAGGGATATAATGAGTAATTAATTTGCCCATGACCATGGGGAAGAGTGGAAACATGATTATAACTTGGGTCTCTTGACTTCATTTTATAGAAGCAAATGATATTTCAAAAACAGATCTGAGTTATGGGGTATAGTCTGCAAATATTATTTTTGAGTTTGAAATCTCATCTAAGAATGCTAACTTTGCATAAATAATAGTAGACTGTACAATATTAGTATAGATTGTTAACTTGTGTTGATTTTAAGAAAACAAAGTACCTCTAATTTCTACTCTCAGATGTTAGGATATAAAATTTTAGTTATAAGTGGCAGATTTATATACTATTCTAAATATACATATACATATATGTATTATATGCATATATTATATATGTATGTATATATCATACACATGCATTATAGTATTTGGATTTGTGGAAAAATAGAACATTTTATAAGTGATATTGTAATATGAATATTTCATAAAATGATGCTTTAAGATTAGAGATGGTTATATACTATCCTGCACTTTCAAAGAGAGAAGGTATATGTGTAATAAGTGGGGCAGAATTCTCAAACATCTCACCAACCACATGGTTTCTAAATCTTATAGGAGTTGATATTACTTAGAACAAAATGGCTCACAGAAGAACAAGGTATATAGGTGAAATTAGTTATCTTTTTCTGACTAAGTGGATTTTATAATATTGGTATAGTATGTGCAGATTGCAGGAAGGCAATTGGTGAACTATTATTAACTAGCTTTCCATCGGAGGAGAACAGAAATAATTAATTGAAGTGAAATTGACTGCATTAAAAGAAATGGTCTCCTAGGAATTTGTCAAAATACTCTGCTTGATCTTTATCCTATTCTGTGGTTTACTTGGAGGAGGAGGCACGTGTTGCCAACTTTTCCGATAACAGGTAACAAGAGAGATAACAAATTTTGTCAGATAACAAAGTTAGGTCAAAAATAATTTCAGTCCTTTTGAGTGATGTTTTAAGCTTAACACAGTGAAATAGATATAGCTGCAATGTGTAGTTGTCTTATACACCACTCACTTTACAAGTCAGTAGAAAAACTGTATAATAAAATGATGAATAGTCCCAGAGGGAAAACTAGGCTACAGGTACAGAGTATCATTAAGGGAGTTCCTTCCCAGGAGGAAGAACTGGGATTGGTAACACAATAATTAAATGTAAGAGTGAATTTCAAAGGAAAAGTCTTTTTCACTGATGAACTTGAATGATACCCTGCAGGGGGTTTGTTAAATACTGATGCCCAGTTCTCACCTTAGAAATACTGATTTAGGGCCCTCCCTGGTGGCACAAGGGGTTGAAGCACCGCCCACCGCATTATGAAGCTCTCTGAAGCCACTGCAGCACAACTTCAACACTCCCCGCCCCCCGCGCCCCCATAGATGACCCACATCCACATGGCAAAGTAGAACTCTCCTGACCTGCCCGCCACTCCCCCCAGCAGTGTATTTCAGTCGATCTGCCTGTTCTGCTCCCCACTCTGTCTCTGGTGAATTCTCTTACCCACCACACCTCTCGCCTGTATCCCAGTTCTTTAAGCATAAATAAATAAATCTTAAAAAAAAAAAAAAAAAAGACATACTGATTTAGGCCATCCTTGGTGGCGCAGTGGATATCTGTAGCTACTGCAGCACGAGTTTGATCCCTGGCCAGGGAGGTGACCCACAGGGCACAACAGACCTCTCCTGTCTTTCCCGCTTCTCCCCTCAACAGATTTGACTGTTCTGCTTCCCATTCTATCTCAGGTGAATCTTCTTACCCTCCACACCTTTATCCCGTATCTCAGTTCTTGTATGCATAAGTAAGTAAATCTCAAAAAAAAAAAATACTGATTTAGTAGATGTGGGATAAGGCCCAGGAATTTGCATATTTAACATGAAGTCTGGGTCCAAATCTGGTGGTCAGTACCCACATTTAGAGTGATACAAGATCAATGCTGAGACCACATCCACTTTTACAATAAACATTTTAGTAAAATGTCTATGTGGTCAAAGAAAATTGTATGAAAGACCTGAGACAAAATTCTTTATTGACAGTTAAAATTCGAGGCAAAATTATTGGAATGTAGGATATTAGGATATGGAAGAAAACTCGATTCCTCAATCTGTGTCATAAAAGTCAAAATTTTAATAGCAAAATAGAAGATACAAATCCATTTTGAGACTCTTTAAACACTTTAAATAAGAGCCCACTCTGCATACCAGCAAGAGATTTGATGGGAACCTGGAAAAAGCTGTATGATTGTGTTAAAGGACAGCATCTGTGTAAGATTAAACACCTGTCAGGCTTTGGGGCCCAGACTGTTATATAAACGCCAGCCTCATGTAGTAAAGCAGGTGTGGGTGAACGTGTTTCTAAGTCTTCTCTTTTTTATTGAAGCTAAGAATTTTGGCTGGCAAGTATAATACATGTTTGGTTACTCTTAACCTTTGCTTCAAGTGTGCAACTTGAGAGCCACATTTTAGAACTGCCATATCCAAAATTATTCCTGCTCTCAGTTTTAAAAAATGTAGCTTGGCGTAATTTAATATTCAGTATTTCAGGGATTTTTTGTATATATCAAGTTTCTCAGTGACATTTCCTTTGTTTCTTAAGCATATTATAGTTCTAAAAAGTTGTGTTTTTCTTTGAAAATTATTTAAAAACTTGGAAGAATTAGTGTTCTTGGCTGTTGACTGATAAGAATGATGTAATTTTGTTTGCCAAGGACTAGCAAATAACTTCTGTTATAATTTTAAGTATATAAAAATTTTCAAATGGCAAGTGGCAAGTTGATAATGTTAGACACTTGTTTCAGTTTCATTCATACTCCCTTTAACAGTTGCATACCTAATAGTTGTGTTTGTTTGTATAGAATCATGAGAGACGAAATTGCAACAACAGTTTTCTTTGTCACAAGATTGGTGAAAAAACATGATAAATTGAGTAAAAAACAAATAGAAGACTTCGCAGAAAAGCTGACCACAATCTTGTTTGAAACATATCGAAGTCACTGGCACTCAGATTGTCCTTCTAAAGGTCAAGCCTTCAGGTGAGAACTGGTCTGCCTGACAAAGTGCATTAACTGGCAGGTGATAGCTCTCTGTAATGATATTGGTGGGAGTCTATGGGGCTTGAAAGAAAAAGATATGGTTAGCTGGAAACCATAGAGCAATGTCCTTTCTGTGAAGTGGATTAAAACCACTCCTTACATGTTCACTGGGAATGATACTGCAGTAATACCGGAGGGTGGGGAGGAATGGGGGTGGGGAAGATGGGAACTCTGTGTACTGGAGAGGTGAGCCTACATCAGGATTTTCCTGCAAAAGCACCAGTCCCCTCTATTTTTTTCTTTTTAAGGTGTATCAGGATAAACAATAACCAGAGTAAAGATCCCATACTGGAAAGGGCTTGTGTTGAAAGTAACGTGGATTTTTCCCACCTGGGACTTCCTAAGGAGATGACTATTTGGGTAGATCCCTTTGAGGTGTGCTGTCGGTGAGTAATCTCATTATGAGTTAGTGTGCACTGGGACCCCTTAGAAACATGAAGTTTTCAGTCAGCTTTCTACATCTTTGTGAAAGATTATGCACCAAAGCCTTGGGTTAGCAGTGAGGGCACTGTTTGGTTAAGATTTTAGATGCTCACTTTATTAACAACACAGACTTCCCTGAGGAACAAAGGTTTTTGCATAGCATTGGAAATTTGATTTTGATCACTGGATCCAGTTGCCAATTGTAGCTTGTAATTAGGTGTTATTGGCAGTATCAAGGAGGAAGAGGAGCTACTATCAAGGAGCAATTCAATTGTTAATTGAATCAAGAGAAACAGATTTGCCTTCTGGTGAGCAACTAGCCAAGATAACTGTCAGAATGCCCTTCTGATTAAGACAGTATAGTGCTGAAGGTCATAAAGCCTCTCACTTTTCTTTGCCATTAAACCACTTCCCTTCTCTAAAGTAACTTTTTGTAAGTTAGTGAGTTGATTTCAGAAGAGATTTGAGATAAAATTTGGGAAAAGTTGGATTTCCAACGAATACTTGATTTCTCTTTTCTCTTTAGGTATGGTGAGAAAAACCATCCATTTACAATTGCTTCTTTTAAAGGGAGATGGGAGGAATGGAAACTATGCCAACAAATCAGCTATGCTGTTAGCAGGGCCACACTAGACGAGGACTCCTGCATGTCCTCTGATGAAGAAAATAGTAACAAAGAACCTCAGATAATTCCCAAAGTCAGCAATCCCAAGAGTGTGTATCAGGTAAAGTATGACCCAGTTTCTGCACACCTTTCTTTCCTATTTAAGTAAAACATACGCTCACTGAAAAATCAAAGGAACAAATGGAAGGCAAGGACAGAATAACAAAATTATGAAGGTAAAAGTTTTGCTAGAATATTGATACTGTGCTTGTTTGTCTTAGCGTGTATTCTTCTCCTTGACTGACTGCTCAGATATCATAGACCTATTTCTCCATTACGTTTTCAAGCATAAGTTTCTTTTCACCTGAATTCGGTCAGTTAGATATTAATATCAACTGGATTTTTGTGCATAGAAAATAATGTCACTTACTGAGAATTTAGAATATTAAGAAATGGTCAAAGATTTGCAAAATTCCACTATACAGTGATGTCTGTGTGTTTCAAAGAAGATTGTTGTCAGTGTTTCTGCAAAGTCTTTTAATTTGTTGTTTACTAAGTTTGTTATGTTTTCCCACCTGTCTTGTAACAAAGCTGTTGTTGCAATTTCATCTTTCATGTTGATGGAGCCCACTATCCACTGTGTATATACCTGCATATCATAGGTGATTCCAGTACACTATTATCCTTAGTAGGCACAGTGCTACCAATACTTTTTATTAAGTGAATTTTTTTTTAAAGATTTATTTATTTGTACATACAGAACCGGGTTACAGGCTAGAGGCTCAGGGGCGGTGAGAGGCTTCACCAGAGACAGAGTGGGGAGCAGAACAGGCAGATCGACGAAGCACACTGCTGAGGGGAGCAGC